ACTGCAACACATCATGTAAATTACACTTAGGCTTCTATGTGATGAGGGATAGAGGAGGTTTTCTCTATTAATCTAGTTTGCCTATGGTTTTCTAGACAGTGCAAAATGGTTTTGTTTGGCTTTATAGACAAGTCTACTTAATTGGGGTGGTGAGGGTCGAACACTAGACCATTTGCTCAAAGAGGCTATGATACCATCTAAGGAAGTGTTTAACATAAAAGCTTAAATTATCAAATGAGGTCTTTGAATAGGCTTTTATGTAACTTGCACTCCCCATAAAAATGGAGTTGTTTGATGGTAATGATCAAAATAGACCAAGAAAGCTTAGTTGATGTTGTCAATGTGCACAGGCAGATTTGCTTTAATAAATCATATAATTTGATGATGCGCGATCTGGAAGCTCCTAGCTGGAGGGATGCCTGGACGTACTCAAGTGATGAGTTGGAGCAAACTGCAAAACAGAGATCAGAGTGACTGGGGTGGATGACCTGGGGAGGTCGCTCCGATGCTTAAGTCAGTATTCTATTGTGCACCCCGCTACAATAGATCCCCCGATGATCATATTAATCACCCTGTGAATCGGTCTTTGTTCTGGTAGTGGGCGAGGTGACTGCTCGTTCTGTCTGCTGCTCTCTAGGGCATCTTTTTTCCGATCTCCCTGTCGGTTCCCCTATTCCTTTTCCTCATGTAGAATGTACTTTTTCAAGTACTCACGACGGATCAGTTCTTCAATTTCATCACAGAGGTTTCTACAGTTTTCTGTATTGTGACCATGGTCCCGATGAAAGTGATAATAGACGTTCGGGTTCCTGGTCGTTGGATCTCCACGGAGTCTAAGTGGCCATCTAACGATAGAGAAGTCCTTGATTGCCATTAAGATCTCTCCTCGCTTCGCGTTCAAGGGAGTATAGTTCGTCCTCTCCACTGGAGGGGTCCTGTAACACAGACCCGACCTGTAACTTCGCGAGGGGGATTTGCTCCTCGAGCTTGGGGACTTACTTTTTTTTCTTTTCTTGTTGTTCGTCCCTTCTTCCTCTCTCTTCCTCTTTTCTCCTGGTTGGTTGTTAGTTTTCTGATTTATCTCCTCTTCAATGCTGATAAACTGATCTGCCAATTAGAGGAACTCGGTGATGTTCTTTGGTTTGTTGGCTGCGACATGCCACTTGAACTCTTTGTGGGTGATGCCTTTGCGCGCTACGGTGAGACGTACTGTTGGGTCAAGGTCCAGTATCTGCAGGCATGTCGCGTTGAAGCATTTGATATAATTGCAGATTGACTCTCCCTCCCTATGCACCACATTCAGAAGGCTCTCCTGTGACCTCGGGCAGTTCTTACTAGTGATGAAGTGGGTCGTAAACATATTTGCGAACTGCGCCCAGCTTCTGATGGAACCCGGCGCTAGATTTCTGTACCAGGTCCGAGCTACTCCTTTGAACGTGGTGGAGAAAGCCACGCACATACAAGCGGCCCTAGCGAGGTGCATCTAGGACTAGAATGCGTCCACATGATCATTAGGATCAAATGACCCATTGTACTTGTCTAGCGGCGGAACCTTGAAATCTTTCAGCATTGGGGCCACTAGGAGCTCGGCTGACAGGGGGGAAGGCCGACTCAAAAGAACAGGTGTTGTTCCTGTGGCCACTGAGCTCACCTCTCTTTCTCGACCTTTATCTACTAGATGGTTGGGCTTTACTGCTTTTTTGGTGGAGCGACATTCGTACTATCAGCCTCCGTGTTGTTAGGTACTTCAATCTTACTTCGAATAGTAGGGCGAGCTGGTTCAGAGATTCTCCTTGCCGCTTCCTCTTCGTCATGCGCTCGATGCTGGCTGTTGCGAGGTACCGAGGGGTCTCCCTTGGAGCCCGCACCTCGGACCTCAGGCCGATGCTCCACATGGGAAATCTGTTGGTTGTGCCTCTCGGGCTGGCTGGGTTCGAGCCTATTCCTCAAGCTTTCTCTTCGGGAAGCAAGGGGAGTACATCGGTCACCTACGCCACCCTGCAGCGGGGTTCGTCCCGAAGGAGGGACCGGCACCTGCGAAGTTCTCTCCCTACGGGGAGGAGACCGGCAGGCATTCTGGCGCTGGTTGTTCGTTGGCTGGCTTGGTTGCAGTGGTGGGAATTGCTGCTAATACTATTGATAAAATTAATACTGTTGGAACTGATGAATCTACTGCATTTGAATCTGCATTGTTCGAACGCTCTGGACGAGGTCGCTGAATTAGGAGTGTCTGATCCCAGGGGAATCACGGAAGGCTCCGAGAATGTGGCGCTCACCTGTTGGGTAGCGTGGGGCGCGGATAGTGATGGGACCCCGAATGCAGTCAGAGGAATGGTGAACTGGCTGATTGTTACCGAGGGTCATTGGGGAACGACTATCTACTGCTCTTGCCCCCTATGATGTTCATGTTACCCTTACTGTTGTGGCTGGATGATGCCATTAAGGTTGAGACTGAGTTTGAGATTGTAAAAAATTGGGATGACCTTTTGATCGTTTCCCACAGACGACGCCAATTGATGATGCACAATTTAGAAGCTCCTAGTTGGAGGGTTGCCTGGACGTACTCGAGTGATGAGTTGGAGCAAACTACAAAACAGAGATCAGAGTGACCGGGGTGGATGACCCGGGGAGGTCGCTCCGATGCTTAAGTTAGTATTCTATTGTGGTTGTGAGCTATAATTTGAGTGCTAGAGAGCTTGGATGCAAGTAATCGCACATACCTGGAGGATGGAGGGATTGATACCTTTATATAGTTGAGCTATCGTGGGTTTCCCGAAACAGTTCCGAGGTCTGCGGCCTAAATGGACGAGATCCGTTTCCACTTTAGTCGAGGAGTAACATATCAATCAATGAACCTTATTATCGTCGCCCAATCCGGGCGGAGAGAAGATAAGGCTTACCGTTATGCGGTGTGATCCCGTAATATTCAGAGTCTGGTAGGAAGCTACTGGAATTGATTACGTGTCACTTCGGTTCCTAGGCCTCGAACTTGATTAATTGCCGAGGTGACTTTATGCCGAGGTGGCCAAACATCCGAACTCCGCCTACTACTGACTAGGCTCCCCTTGCTGAGTTGCCATCCTACAGGCAGATCATATCCACGTGACCTTTATTTACTAAGTTGTGCCAAATTACCCCTCATCATAAATGATTATAGTCCTAAGATGTCCCCATGACCTTTATTTACTAGGTCGTGCCAAATTACCCCTCATCATAATTGATTATAGTCATAAGTGGTAACCAATCACTTCGTATATTTGCCTATTCCAAAATTTGCATGGTTGAGTTAGAGAACCCTACTCCCAATTATTATGCAAAACAAACATGGAGAACTATTGCCTTTCGTTAAATGGCAATATTTAATATCCCAATGTGGTGTATATATATATGGTCTTCCCTTTCGTTAAATGGAAACATTTCAAGGTTTTGGAATCCCTTGTAATGTCCACCCTTCCCACGATTATGTTTACAAAGTTATTTCATCTACTTATTGGCATCTAGAAAAAATGACCTAGAAACGGAACCGTTTGGCCACCGGTTTTCAAGTTAATGGTTCAACCGTCCAGTTCGAATGGATGGCCCGTTCTGGCAACAAAAATTAAAAAATAAAAAAAATAATTAAAAATAAAAAATGGCCAAAAATCATTGAACGGGTCATCGGGTCAATGGTTTGACCGCCCAAATCAATCGGTCATTGATTGATTCAATGATTTTTTGCCAGGGACCGGGTTTGGGGTAAAACAGAACCGGTTGCTTGGACGGTTCCCGGGCCAAACAGTCCTACCGTCCGGGTCAACTGGGAGTTCTCGATACAAAAAACAAAGACAGTTATGAAGTAGAACTCAGAACTATCACTATATGATCGTATTCTTTTATATAAGATGCTTTGCTGAAACAATATTTAAAAACGAGCACATGATGATGTCTTTTAATCTTTATATGAGTTTCAAGACTTGAGTACTTATAATTGTAAGTTTCTTATTAAGAAAACATTGTCTTTTTTAATGTAGCAAATAGCAATGCTACAATTACCCATTGAAAGAAGTATCATTATTTTATGGTTTTTTTTTTGAAAAATAGAAATGATAATCTTTTTAACAAGCTCCTTTATTACTTGAGAGAGCCTTTAATTTTTCAGAGAAGTACGGACAGACCCAATGCAGATTTCTGATTTTCACCACAAAACTATAAATATTCAAAAGGTCAAAAACCCACATTCTATGCACCTATAATGGCCCGTGAATTAGCATTAATTCTGAGCTGACACCTACCCAAAATGTACTTTGACACTACAAATTCTGACCCTAGGCTGATCCGTCCTTCTCCCATAATTTTTTCATAGATTTGAAAGTCAGCCTTAATGTTGAGGATATATCTTCTCATGGTAAAACATGGTTGCATGCACATCTTATGGAAGAGTCCTCGGCGGAGTGTTATTGCCAAAAATCACTCCTCGTCTTGTGTAGCATTTTCTAGATCTACCATAAAATAAAGGTTCTTGTACCTTTATCAATCTACAAGAATTTACCATTTTTAACATAGGAATTGAAGTTTTAATGAGATTTGGTGTATTACTGCTGATATGATTGAATGTTTTAAATACAAAATTTATTTTTATCTTCTAAATTAATTTGAAAATTAAATCTGTCTTAATCGAATGGAGCAACCTAACCATTCTATCACAATGGACTAACCATTGCACCAAGGCCCATCCAAAATCGAAAAATAAATTTTAACACTGAAATATTCTTGAAAAAAAAAAGATAAAAAGAAAAAGGTATTATTTTGAGCAATCTATCAGAGATTGTAATGGATTGTAATGGCTTGATACAACTATGCTCACATTAATTACATTCCAAGGGGTTTCTTGATTGCATGTACATGCTAATTAATCTATATCTACCTAAGGGGTTTAATTTCTCTAGCTTCTAACCATCACTCACAGATCTGGACCATCGAACCAGCGGTTTGGCCAGCCGGTCCAATCACCCATCTACTCTCTAGCTCCGGTCCCTGAGAATTCTCTGCAGATCCTCAGGCCGGCAGGGTATGGCAAGAGCTCCCTTCTGGTTGAAGCCGAACTCCTCCTCTGCTTGCTCTAACAACTTAAGGAATTCTGGGTGAGAGAGATAAGCCAATTCAAGAACAAATCTCTTGGGTTGGTCGCAATCAACTGCGAGCACCACAAAATGCCCTTCCTTCACATCCTCGGGAAGCTCCATTGCAGCAGGATTCACTTCTTCATCAGAGACACCATCACCACTCAGTTTCTTTGGTGATGAGAGAGTAGCTAACTCCTTTATCTTCTTCTTGATCCTCCTGAGCATTACTATATGCTTAGTAGTCTTGGGCGGCATCTCTGCTGCAAGAAATGAAGGAACTGATGAAGAGAATTAATTAATATCGTTGGTTGTAGTGAGAGAAATGGGACTCCAGTGTAAGATTTATAGCTGGATGAAAGCACAGAAGAAGAGGAGAACATCAGACTTGTGCTAGATATTCTCTTATTAGACCAGTGCATGTGTATATGAACCTTCTGTTGGATACACCCATGACCAGTCACTGTAGAATTTCTTATTCTGGATGTATGGTGGGACTCCGGCTCACGTTGCCATGTTCCATGAGGAGAGAGAACTTTGGCTCTTATTAAATCACCTTTTAACAGTGAATTTAAGGCCACCTCTCGATGCCCAGTTCTCCACCACTCTTTTGCAGTCGAATAATCCGGAGTTTTATATTTCAGGCAAAGCAAACGCATAGACATCTGGTTTGTAGGAGAGCAATAGCTTCCCATAGGTAAAGGGTCAATGAATCCACCCCAAATCTGATTTTAGTAATGAAACCAAAACAATAAACGTGTATCCTTACTGATGAGCCGTGTTCTGGACTAGTCTTTATCAGCTTCAAGCAAAATGTGCGGACGACTAGCCGGCCGCCGGCCAATCTTGCTCATTAATCTAATTATCTATATACGCTCTTGTGCAATTATCAGTAAGCGGAAAAGTATGGACAGGCTCAATACAGATTTCTGAATTCCACTGTAACGCTAGATCCGGATTTCCCTCATTTGACTCGTCTTTTTCAATTGGAAGCTCACCCAAGCTAGCCAACAGTAGGGGTGTCAACGACCGGTTTTGGATTGAACCCAATCCGATCCAAATCTTATTAAATTGGATTTGGACGATCCATTATAATAATTATTGGATTGAGCCAATTCAAAATAAATTGATCCATATTTTTATTGGTCTGAATTAGGAATGAGGATTATTCGGTTAAAACTGAAAAACCTAACAGAAAATTCTAGTTTCTGTTTTTTCGGTTTGGTTATTTTGGTTTTTGATTAATTCGGTTCGGTTTTTAAATATTTTAGTTTCGTTTTCAATTTTTAGAATTAGAATTTCGGTTGACCGAAAAAAACCGAATTAACCAAACTTTTCTATGTAGCATGTAATATATAATATACAACATATTATATTTAATATATAATATAATAAAATTTGATTTCATAATATATATTTATATATTATATGTTATGATATATATATAATATATAATATAGTATATATTTTTGAAATTCGGTTTTAACTTAAATAACCAAAAGTTTCGGCTTCAGTTATTTCGATTTTCCTCTAATTCGGCTTCGGTTTGGTTTTCATTTTTCTAATTCAGTTCTTAAAATTTTGGTTTATTCAATTCGATTTTTAACCGAATAAACCAAATGCTTACCCCTAGTCTAAATTGGACCTAAACCAAATTTCCAACAATCCATGAGGCCAAACCCTTGTTCTATTTGAAACCAATCAAAATTGAAGCCAACATAAAACCACTTTTATGAAAGTAATTTTACGAAAGCACTTTTATAAAAATAATTTTATGAAAAGTACTTTTACGAAAATACTTTTACAAAAACACTTTTACAAAAGCACTTTTTATAGAAGTACTTTTACATGAAAGCACTTTTGTGAAATCACTTTTACAAAAGAAATTTTACGAAAATACTTTTTGTAAAAGTACTTTTTCAAAAGCACATTTATAAAAGTACATTTATAAAAGCACTTTAGGAAAGCACTTTTATGAAAGAACTTTTATGAAAGAACTTTTATAAAAGCACTTTTATGAAAGTACTTTTACAAAAACATTTTTATAAAAGCACTTTTATATAAGCACTTCTATGGAAATACTTTTATGAAAGTACTTTTATGAAAGAATTTTTACAAAAGTGCTTTTTCAATGCCAAAAGGGTATATTTTTGTCATATTCAGATTTTCTTCATTTAATTAATTTTTGTATTTTTTTATATATATGTCCTGTTTTGTATATAATTTTTTATATTTCATTCGGTTTGGATCCAATCCTGTCCATTTACATTTTAATGTGAGTCCATTTGTAAGTGAACTCACATTGGATTGGATCGGGTTAGCCCAAAACCAGTCCAATTGACACCTCTACCCAACAGTGCACAGTGGTTCACTAGAAAAGCTTTTGATTTTGTTTTCACTGTAAATCCCCTATATTGGTGCAGTAATTACTAGTTAAATGGAGTGTGTAATTGTTAGTGTGTGTGTGTGAGGGTAGTACTGGTTGTCATTTTTTTTTTTTATTTGAGTGAAGAAAGCAAAGGAGTTCATTAAAATAAAACCAACAATACAAAAACTAAGAAGCTAGGGTCTAATTAAGTCTTGACTTGCTACGACCGTAACGGATGTCAGCTCAATCCGAAGGAAATTATGCDGAAGCTTTACAGAATTATTATGAAGCTACGCGACTAGAAATTGATCCCTATGATCGAAGTTATATACTCTATAACATAGGCCTTGTCCACAAGGAGAACATACGAAAGCTTTGGAATATTATTTCCGGGCACTAGAACGAAACTCATTCTTACCACAAGCTTTTAATAATATGGCCGTGATCTGTCATTACGTGCGACTATCTCCACTATAGAAAGAAGGAACGAAAGAWAAAATCCGATAATAAATACTAAAAACAAAAGAGGCTTTCTACATATGCATCGTCCAAAGCAACGATTTTTATCAGCTGTAGCAAACAAAGAGACTTCATAGAAGCCAAAATATGAAGAAATAGATATGCCTATATACTATATTCTATGGATAAAGGATCTAATTGATAGAGGAAGCACCGTAAAGATCAATTGGCGAGGTCCTTGATCCAATCAGAGATTCCACTAGCATAAATTCTAGACTCTTTTAGTCCCCGCTTAGCCAGTAGATGGGCTACAGAATTACATTTTTTGTTTACATAAACAAAATCAACATTAAAATTTGTTGTCGCTACTTCAATATCTTTGCACAAAAACAAAAGTATCTGAAGCTTCATTGGAGTTCTTTGATGATAACGCTTGAACAATGTTAAGGCAGTCCGATTCCACTGAGATCAAGGAGTCTCCTATCCCTTCCAAGAGCATCACTCCATTAAGGATTGCTATAACCTCCGCCTAAATGGGGGACTATCCAGAAATCTTCCCAAAAGCAGCTGAGATCACAATCCTGGAACTATCCCTTAGAACTGCATCAAAACCAATCACACCAACCCACAAAAAAACTGCCATCCACATTTAGTTTAAATTCACCTGGCTTGGGCACTTTCCAAAATACAGCTGCTGACATTCTAGGGGCTTGAAAAAAAACTGCCATTCTTCTTGGGAAATCTTCTGCCTCTCCCTCCACATCCTGTAAATTACAGCAAGGGCATCTCTAGGCTCTGGATCAGAATTTTCAAAAATTTTTTTATTCCTGTTTTTCCATATAATCCACAACAAGAGGAAAGAGAAAGTTATAAGATCAATCTTTCTTTCTTTATCTTTCATACAATAGTCCAACCAAAAAAACAAACCAGTGAGAAAAGCTAATATAGTGTGGGCCCTGGTTTATTCTTAGGTTTAAATGGCTTCCAAACCACACCGCTTGAGCATGGCTACAGAAAAACAGACAATTCATTAGAGACTCAGTCTCCTGTAGGCAAATGGGACACCTATCATCAACAACGAGTCTTCTCTTGTAGAGATTCTCTTTAGTTGCTATAGAATTTTTGCAGCATTTCCAAATGAAACCTTTAATCTTTGGATCTATTTTTGCTTTCCAGATTTCAATCCAATGTGTTTTCTTGAACACCACCCTGTACCCATTGTTCCTGTTAGTAGCCCAGTCATGATTAGTGTTGTTATGTTAAATATTGCATAGTACCCGGATTTTATAGTATACTAAGCATTTAGGTGAAGTGTCCATCTCAGCTTGTCTTCCCATTGTCCCTCAGCTAGGTTTATTCTTTGAATATCGGAAGAAAAAGGCTCCCCAAAGTTCTCTACCATAAGCAGTTAAGCACTGAGTACCATCTTCTTTCCCCTTGCACCACAAGATCCTTGACCCAAATGAGGTTTGAGCTATTTGGTTTGGGGTCCACTATTCTAAAACTTGGAATATTGGGAAGCCATGGGTCCTCCCATATTTTGACCTGATTCCCCATATTAACTGCCCACACAGCTCCTTGTTGGAGAACTTCCCTAGCAGCAACAAGGCTTTGCTAGCCCCATGACCCGTTCTTAGGTAGAGCTGAATTCAGAAAATTTCTACCCCTTAAATATTTGCCTTTGATAATTTTAACCCAGAGGTTCTCCTCATTTAAACAAAGCCTCCATGTTTGTTTTGCCAAGAGAGCCAAGTTAAACTTGTAGGGATCCCTAAAGCCTAAACCTCCATCCAATGTGTTTTTACTTAAATCATTCTAGTTAACCCACTGAGGTTTTTTTTTTTTTTGCTTCCCCCACCAGAATCTTAATTGAATCTTTTTTATTTCATTGCACACACTCCTCGGGATCAGAAAACAGGTCATGGTATAGTTTGGAATAGCACACAACCTTCAGCATAACCTCTTTACCAGCTTGAGAGAGTAGAGCTCCTTGCCATCCAGATAGCAGTTTCTCAACTCTTTCAATCAGGAATTTGAACAGGGCATTTTTTTATTTTCCTATACTTGTTGGGAATCCTAGATAAATTGATGGGGTCTCAACCTTTTTTTTTTATTTTAAGGAATCTGGCCATCATTTTTTGGATCTTAGGGTGTAAGTTCTTACTGAAAAATAAAAAATAAAAAACCAGATTTAGAGAAGTTTACCTGCTAACCAGAAGCCTCTCCATAAAGTTTGAGAGTATCAAATAAGGTCTGTCCCTCCCCAAGATCTGCTTTAGTGAAGATGTAACTGTCATCTGCAAAAAAAAAAAACCAAATGAAAGACAATTGGACAATTTTTTGTGATTGTTAGGCCAGATATCTTTTTTGTCTTCACCAGATCTGTGATTTTAACAGATAGGACCTCTAAGCAAAACAAGAAGACGTAAGGGGATAGAGGGCCCTTTGTCTCAGACCCCTTTCAGGACAAAAATTTTTACTAGGACAGCCATTGACTAGAACTTTATAGAAAACAGTTGTGACACACTACATCACCCACTCGGTCCATTTGCTACCAAATCCCAATTTTTGTAAAGCTTTTTCTAGGAAGGTCCACTCCACCTTGTCATAGGCTTTACTCATATCGAGTTTAAGTGCCATTCATGGACTTTTTCCTTTTGTTTTCCTCATGGGCAACTAGGATATTATCCTGGATAAAACGGCCAGGTGTGAAAGCACTATCATTTTCACTAATCAGTTAACCTAGTAAAGGCTTTACTCTATGATGAAGGGTGATTTGGCATGACCTAGTAAGAAGGGGACACGTAGACGCGATCTGCTCGAGGGGTGACAACTCAGCCAAACAAACCCAGCCCGCAACATTCTAAGCTCGGATGTTCAGCCACCTCGGCCCAAAAAACCACCTTGACGTAGAAACACCTCGACACCTAATCCAGTTCAGGACTAAAGAACCAAAGTACCAGTTCGGAGCTAAAGAGCCAAAACGCCACGTAATCTACTCGAAAGGCCTCCCCAACGGACCCCGAATTTCTCGAATCACGATGAGACTCATCCTAGCTCTGCCTGAATCGGAGGTAGATGATAAACCTTATCAACACATTGCTCCCCTTCAAAAACGGAACAGATCCACACAGCCCGGAGATCCCGGAGCGCTTTCGTAAGGCCCACGACTACTCCATTATATAAGGACATAAAACCCCAAGGCAAAGGTACATGTGATTATTTTACTCACTAGCATTCAAGCACTCAAAGTATTCAGCTCGCATCCACAGTATAATACTGACTTAAGAATCGGAGCGACCTCGCCAGGTTATCTACCCCGGGTTCTCTGATCCACTATTTTGCATATTGGTCCAGCTCGTCGCACAATTGGAGTTCGGATCGTCTTCCAACTATGAGTATTTAGATTGCGCACCATCAATTGGCGCCGTTTGTGGGAATCGATCGAAAGGTCATCCCAACTTTAGTTACAATTTTATTTTTTCAATTTTCCCCAATGGACTCTTCCAGCAACACTGGAAAAAGTACCGAGATGAAGGTCACCGGGGGGCAAGATCAGCAATCAACCTTCCCCCAAGGTCCTACGGTATGCATTGGCCAGTTTACTATTCCTCTTACAGTGTCAGGAGTCCCGTCACTGTCCGTACCACAGGGCACTATGCAAGTGAGTGTTCCGCTTCCCCCAGTGGGTGCGACTTTTTCCGAGCCATCTGTGGTCCCTCCTGGAATCAGGCACTCCCAATTCCATGACCTCGTTCAGTGCGTCCGGACGATATAGATCCAGATGCAGTAGTAGCAGTTCCCACCACTACAGCCGAACCAGCAACCGATTCCACCCCAGCACCCAGGGTTGTGTCAGGGCCAAAACCCGAATCAGCCTGGAACCAGCCAAAATGTCAACCAATCCCCCCATCGGGGTGAGGGGACCTCGCAAGTACCGATTCCTCCCAGGAGTCAGGTTCCGTCCCGTGGGAGGAGAGACGGTCAGCACACTACTCCAGCCTCGCAAGGAAATTTTAGAAACCGGCCCGAGGATAGTCAGCTCAATAGGGCCAATTCGCCTCGACACTCCCAACAGGAAAATGATGTCTCGCGAGGAGATAATAACCTGCCCGGAGTTCGAGGTGCGAACTCGAGGCACGACCCCTCTGTCTCTCACGATAGCTAGTGCGAACCCCACAACCGAGAGAACCTAGCAAGAAGGAACCAGGATCCACCTCGCGATAATGTTCGTGGTGATGCCGAAATACTAGACCAGACCGAAATCAGTAGTACCAACGCCGAGCCGGTGAAGAAGCAGCGGCAGCGGCGCTCGACTAGAAATAGTCCGCCAACGAAGCCAGGCCAGCAAGCAAAGTGAGCCAAAGAAAATGAAGAAGTGAGCTCGGTGGCTACGAAAACTGCGCCTCCACTACTTTGCCGGTCATCTCCTCTGTCTCCCGAGCTCTTGGCAACTCCGATGCCGAAAAATTTCAAGGTGTCCCCGTTATACAAGTATGACAGGTGGTTTGACCCCAACGATCATGTGGATTCCTTCCAGTCTCAGATGCACCTAGCTAGGGCTGACGAGTCCTGCATGTGTGTGGCCTTCTCCACTACGTTTAGGGGGGTAGTCCGAACTTGGCTCCATCAAAAGTTGGTCCCAATTTTCCGATCTGTTTACTACGCACTTCATTACCAGCAAGAAGTGCCCGAAGTCGCAAGAAAGCCTTCTAAATGTGGTTTAGAGGGAAGGACAATCAATCAGAAGCTATATAAAGCGCTTCAATGATACTTGCTTGCAGATACCGGACCTCGATCCAGCGGTGTGACTCATTGTGGCAAAGAAAGGAATCACCCATAAAGAGTTCAAGTGGCACGTGGTAGCTAACAAACCGAAAGATATCACCGAATTCCTCAAGCTAGCAGATCAATTCATCGGTATCGAGGAGGAGATCAACCAAAAGTTCGACAACCCACCGCTCGAAAAGAGGAAGAGAGAATGAAGGAACGAGCAATGGTGGGCAGAAAAGAAAGAAAAGCAAGTCCCCGAGCAGGGGAAGAAGCAAGTCAAGAAGTCAGTCCCCCTCGCGCATCCACAAGCCAAGTCGGCGCTCCAGGACCCCACCTGTGGAGAGAACGAGCTATACGCCTTTGAATGCTAAGCGAGGAGAGATCTTAATGGCTACTAAGGATTCCTCATTCATCAAATGGCCTCCTAGGTTAAGGGGAGACCTGACAACAAGAAACCCGAATGTCTACTGCCATTTCCACCGAAATCATGGACACAACACGGAGAATTGCAGGAATTTCCGCGACGAGATAGAGGAATTTATCCACCAAAGGTACCTGAAGAATTACATATCGCGAGAAGAGAGGGGCAAGCAGACCGACAGGAGGACCAAAGGAGGAATGGCCCCAGGGTCAGCAAGCAGAATGAGCAACCACCGCGACAATTGCCAGAGGAAAGACCAGTCCGCGCGGTGATTAACATGATCACCGGCGGGTCCATCATCGCCGGATGTACGTCGACAGCTAGGAGGACCTCAGTCCGCGAATTGGAGAACAAAGGTGAAAACCCGCCAAAGCGACCTTGGCTCGAAGAATCGATCTACTTCACTGAGGACGATGCGCGTGGGATCCAGTACCCTCAAATGATGCTTTAGTGGTGAAGCTAAAGATTAACAACTTCGAGGTAAAACACATCTTGGTGGACTCAGGTAGGTCAACAGACATACTCTTCAAAGAGACCTTTGACAAATTACAGTTACAGCAAAGCGACCAGAAACCGGTAGATACGCCTTTAATAGGGTTCCGCGGCGAGGAGGTCAGACCTCTTGGTCGAATCACAGTACCCGCGGAAGCTGGCACGTGGCCAAACATTATGCGATTCAAGCACACGTTCCTGGTAGTCACGACTCCCTCCCCCTACAACGCAATAGTAGGTCGGCCTATCACGCATGTTTTACTGTTTTACGTGCGATAGTATCCACTTACTACTTAGCGATGAAATTCCCAACTGATTACAGAGTGGGAGTTGTGCGAGGTGACCAGCTCGAATCCCTCAAGTGCTACGTGGCTGCCTTGAAAGGAAAAGCAAAGCTGGCAGAGGATGTCGAGCTCGAGCAACCAGTGGAGTATACCGACGAACGAGCTGCCCCGAAAGAAGAGACGGTCCACATACCAGTCTCTATCGTTGAACTAGCCAAAACTCTTTAGATCGGTGCCTCTATCAACGAACCACTTCGAACCCAACTAGTAAGTTTCTTACTTAAAAATTTAGATGTTTTTGCTTGGTCCACGGCAGAGATTCCCGGGATTGATCCAAAAATTACAACTCACAAACTTAATACCGACCCTTTAGTCAGGCCAGTAAGGCAAAAGAAACGCAACCTTGCCCCGGAACGTTGGAGGGTAGTCGATGAAGAGGTTGGGAAGCTCCTAGCAACGGACTTTATCAGGGAAGTCCATTACCCGAGCTGGGTGGCTAACCCGGTTCTGGTGAAAAAAGACAATGGCAAATGGCGCATGTGCGTCGACTACACCAACCTAAACAGAGCCTGCCCGAAAGATTGCTTCCTGCTGCCCAAGATCGATCGCCTAGTGGACTTAACCTCAGGGCATGAGTTGCTGAGTTTCCCGGACACCTATTCCAGTTACAACCAGATTAGGATGGATCCCGCTGACGAAGACAAGACTGCTTTCATAACTGAGCTCGGGTTATATTGTTACAAGTTCATGCCCTTCGGATTGAAAAATGCTAGGGCAACATTCCAGCACCTTGTAAATAAGATTTTTGAGCCGTTAATCGGCAATAAAGTAGAATGTTATGTTGATGACATGGTCGTGAAGACCCAGTTTTCAAATTCTTTGTTGGATGATTTAAAAAATGTTTTTCAAATTTTACGAAGATATAACATGAAGTTAAATCCGAATAAATGCATCTTCGGAGTCACTTCGGGTAAATTTCTAGGCTATATAATCAACCGACGCGGCATCGAGGCCAACCCAGACAAAATAAAAGCGATTCTAGATATGAGACCACCCCGGAATATAAAAGAGGTCCAGAGGCTGACTGGCCGGATAGCCGCCCTGAGCCACTTCATGTCTAAATCGGCAGACCGGTGCCTACCCTTTTTTAAAGCTATAAAAAAGAGCAAGGACTTCGAGTGGACTGAAGAACGCCAGCTCGCTTTTGACGAGCTAAAATATTACTTAGGTACCGCCCCAGTTTTAACTCGACCCTAAGAAGGGGACGTGTTAAAACTATACCTTTGCGAGCGATGAAGTGGTTAGTTCGATACTGATCAAAGAAGTA